ATAAAATATTGAATAATAGTCAAATGTTTGCAGCAGAATTTGGTACAAGTGATCATCGGAAAGAGTTAATGATTTGCGTGTTCCGAATTGTATTCTTTAAATGTATCAAACATAAATTATGATATGAAAAAATGATATTTATTATAAAATTATGCTCTTAACCAGAATAGTCTGTTACTAGTATCTTAATAACAGTATCATTATTAACTTTACTTGGCATCTCTTTAGGAATTTCAACTAAAGTTACTTTTAAAGGACATTTGTTTGAATTAGTAACTTTATTAAGAATAGATACATGTATAGAAGTTGATACTGTCATCTAGAATTTAAAAATAAAAATAATCACTGAAAAACTATAATAATAATAATAATAATAATAATAATAATAATAATAATAATAATAATAATAAATATATATATAATAAATACTTTTGCCCTATGATTTGTACTATAATATTCAGGTACAATCTTGCCACCAACAAAAAAAAAACTGTCTTTCTTGAAAACTGCTTAGGTTTTAAAATCTTTATCATCAAACTAATCGGTAAGAACACTGTCATCTTAATATTATAATCTTTACATTCTACAGAATAAGTACCCAGAGCCCATGCTACTAATAAATTTACATCTTCCTTTTCATGTTGTTTTATATACTTAACTCTTACAATCATATTCACATAACAAGGCATAAAGAAAACCTAGACCACAAAAACTTTAAAATTAATAGCTCTTTATATATATATATACAACTGATTATATAATAATATGCAAATTCAAACATATATATCTAACTTTAGAAAAGCACAAATACAAACTTTTAGGGTGTGGCAACCTAATGAAGTGGTCAGGTTGTAAACCCCTCAAGTGGTAAGTTGGATGTTCAAATCCTATTGACAGTGAAAATTTGGATAATCACTTATGTAATATTCATATTATGCTAACTATTACTAACTATTGGGTTAGGATACCTGTAATACTAGTCACACCAGCATAACTGGCAGGTCATGGAGCATCTGTATAAGTATGGCGTTATACAGAGGAATGCAAACTAACAAATCGGGCAGTGCAAATACTAGATAAGTCCTTGTGGCTGTGTAAATCTGTTGAAATTGGGTAACAAGAAGTCCATTTGGGAAAACCAGAGTAGAGAGGTAGCTAGATCTTCAACACCCTACTGTAAAGGCTAGCTCGGGGAAATGGATACCAAGGTCATAGTATTTGGTCATAGTAGCCAGATGGGCAAGAACCTCTGAGTTGAAAAGCTCAGAGGTACCCCAACCAGGCTGCCAGAACAAATGAAGGAAAAGGATATTGGGCCGATCTGATATACTGATGGACTGGTCATAGTCCTATATAGGCTATCTGGATTGGGAGTTTGGTAAAAAGGCTGGACAAAAGACAGGGGTATACTAAAGTACTGAGGTTATGCTGTAAAGTAGATGCTGAGGTCTAAGTGAACTCTATAAGGGCATAGTGATTTAATGGTTAGCCCTAATCACAAGTATTGGTTCTGCCATAGTGATATCTAAGTCAGCTGTAAAAATAGGTACAGAAGGCTCTGGGGGGTTTACCTCAAGGATAAATTAGTCCTAAGATTGAGGACGATGATCTGGTACATCTGAGATAACCAGTAATGTTAATACAGATTACAGTTTCAGAGGTTTTAAAGTGGAACATCCAAGCAGGGGTGTTAGGTATGGCAATTGGTAGAGACCTTCGGGCGGACTTCTTAAATAGGTAATATAGAAAAGTTATATGTGTAGCCAATTGTATGCTCTTCTGTAGTAGTTCATTGAATCACAATACTGATAAGTGATTAATAAAAGTCAAAAGACCAAAGAGATCACCTTAATACCAAAAAAAACAAAAAAAAACAAATACAAACTCTCATTAATATTATTCTAATAAAATAAAAATAATAGTTAAATAATTATAATGACAAAAAAATCTATGTAATAATTTCAAACTACCAAAAATAATTATAAGAAACAATCTTAATAAAATAATAATACAATTTTAATAAATAACTAATATAATTATTAATCCAATAAAACAGTTACCTAAAATATAAATAAACTATAATTGGCCTAATACAACTCAAAATTTAATTTTATAATTTTTTTTTAAATAAATTCCTGATGAATTACTAATACAAATTTACAAATACTAAACTTATTTAGAAAAAATCATATATACATACGTATATATAAACAAAATTATAAAAACAGGTTCAAATATACATTAATCAAAAGTACAATAATGTCATATACCAAATGTAATTTCTGTCTTTTACAGTTTTGAACTGTCTAAACTAAAATATATACTATCTAACAAAATTCAAACAAAAAAGAAACTTAATTACAATATATAAGCAGAAATCCTGTTAATTTACTAATACAATTCAATTACTGAAACAACTTATTTATATATACTCTAAAATATTTTTCAAGAACACAACATTTTACTAATAAAACAAAATTTTTTTTACATATATCGCTTAGTATAAATACTAAAAACTACCTTTAAAATTAATCTTTTATCTTCTATAATGCTATATAAACAACTATTAACTATAAAATACTGACAAAAACTACATAATTATATCTCTGCTAGGAATTCCTATTAAATTTTAAAAAAATTTCATAATGCTGTGATTAAGCTCAATTTATATAGCTATCATATGTTTAACTTTAACAGATAAATAAAATCTCTGAACTATAATTACTAATCCAAAAATTCAAATAAATTTGTATACAAATACTAAATACTTATAATAAAATAAAAAAAAATTATCGATTATAAAAAATAAATACATACAATAATTCAAAATTAAATTTTATTATAATAATAAAACTACAAAAAATAAAAATTAAAAAACTTTCTGTGGCAATGCCATGAGCAGAAAACTAGTATATATAAAAAAACTTTATAGTTTAATTTGGTAAACATCATGGATTGACCATATTTTATTGTCATTCATAGTAATAATAGATTTTCTAAAATATATTGTCGTTTTACTAAAAATATCAACTCTAAAATTCCCTATTCATAGGGTAAACAAAAGTCTCTCGCGTAACGTCGGACGAATTAGTACTCAAAAGAGGCGTTGGATTTGGGCGTATACTAAGGGTAAGTATTTCTTTATTAGATATACTGCGAGACCTGTTTTTATTACATTATAACCACATTGCTTATATA